TGGATAAATTGGTGGGCATGGTGAGGAGGGCACTGTATACTTATTACTGAAAGTAATCATCAGAGCCTTCTGAGTTCCCAGAGACTTCCTCTCCACCACAGGCAACTCAGCAGCCACCCAAGGAGCAACCAATTCCTTCCATGCCACGGGATTCCCTGAATCTACACTCATGGCTCCCAAAATATCACTTCCCTTTTCTTTCAGACTGGTATTTTAGAGTAGTGACTGGACCACAATACCATGTTTCATTAGATTCTCTCAAGGGTGTCCAACCTGCAGCCCATGGGCTGCATGTAACCCAGGCTGCAGCCCAACTGTGAATGCAGCCCAACACAAAATCGTAAATTTACTTAAAACACTAAGATTTGTTTGTGATTATGTGTTACAATGTATTTAACGTGTGGCCCAAGACAACTCTTCTTCCAGTGTGGTGCAGAGATTCCAAAAGGTTCAACACGCCTGCTTTAGAAGGTGCTGCTATCTCTAACACAATGTATTCTAACCTGACATTCATCGAGTAAAAGACTAAAAACATGTTAGTTTTCCCTCAGTTCATCACTGTAGTAAGCCTGAGATTCTGTTTACTGGTAAGGATAATCACCTATTGAATACGTACTATGTAATAAGCACTTTAATTATGCTAAGCAATTTTGTGCTTAATTTCTTTAAAGATGTTATCACCACTCCCACTTTCAAATGAGAGAAAAGTTAATGAAATTACTTGCCCAGGGTCACACAGCTAGCAACAACATACATTTTACACGCTGGTTTATTCAACTCCTCTTAACTTCCATACTCCCAACATCCAGGAGAGTGTCTGTCACTAACAAGCCCTCAGATATCTATCTGTCCAACAAATAAATGATGACCACTCATGGGGTTTTGCAACCAAATGGCACCCCTCTCCTCCAGGAGTCTGGAAATGGAGCATTTTAGTTTGTCCCAATGTGAGGGTCATTATCAGCATTTAGTGAATGGGGGATAAACAAGGGACTGTCTGAATGCCAAGAGCACCCATTGCCAAACTCTAACTCACAGGCTCATTCATAAAGAAATCCTTTCATGGTAAAATTAATCCACCTGCTCATCAGCTTAATTTACAAGTAACTTCCTATTTATTAATAGCTTGCTTAAATGTCCTAAAAGACACATCAATCTCTTTTTACATAACACCATTTTTGCATTTACCTGGCACTTATTTTCAAATACACACGCATATCATTTTAAGTGTAGAGCCAATGCTCCATCATTTATTCTCAGATGGAACCAAAGCACCTCTCCTCCACTGCCCACCTGACTCCTCTCAGTAGATTTGCATGATGATACAGCATTTGAAGTAGCTTTCCAACTGGAAAATCATTGTTTCATTATCAAGAATACAGTTTGAGCCCTGACTGGTGTGGCTCAGTGGTTGAGTGCCCCACGGCAAATCAAAGGGCCGCGGATTTGGTTCCTAGTCAGGGCACATGCCTGGGTTGTGGGCCAGGTCCCCAGTGGGGGGCGTACGAGAGGCAACCACACACTGATTTCTCTCCCTCTCTTTCTCCCTTCCTTCCCCTCTCTAAAAAATAAGAAAATAAAATCTTTAAAAACAAAAAAGAATACAGTTTGAAATTTCTACTTCCAAGGGTCACTCATGTTATAGCAGGAAATTTTAGATTGCTCTGGCTCACTGCCTAAGCTATCTTTACAAAGGTATTATGCTAATGGTTTCTCCTATGTCTTAAAAACATCAGTGAAATGGGAATTTAATATGAATTAGTTTACAATGAAAACTGTATAAAAATCCACATCCAAAGAGTGAAAATGATTTACTCTTGCAGACAGATCAGAATACAGACAACAAAAATTTAATTAGGAGGTACGTAGTTACACAACTGCAGTTACCCCTAAGCAGATTCAAGGTCCAAAGGAAGACTGTTCAGGGACTCGTGGGCTACAAGGAGATCCTTTGGCAAAGGTTTGTTCTGGCATTCCAGTTTTGTTCTTTTGCTAATGGAATTATTTCATAAGCTGGGGGTGGGGAGGATTGTGGGGCGGGGGATCAGAGAATCAGTCTTTTGAAGCCCAAAGTTCCTTTTTAGGTTCTAAAAACTAATGTAAATGAGGCTCTTAAAGACTAACATGCCAACCAACAAAAATGAGCATTTCCTGCACAGTTTTAAAAGCAGAATTACTCTAACCACCTAACTTTCAACATTTACTTTAGTCGGACCCCAAGTACTGTTTTGTTTTGTTTTTTTTGGATTTTATCTAGTCTAGTCCCTGCGAAACATACCAAAACATAAAGATCCAGGAACTCTGAGACACAACCCTGAGGCTCAGTCTTCAGCACATTCTGAGATTTGGTTATTGCAGAAAGAACCGACTGACGACCTGAGCACTATCAGCTCACCTCTGCTGTTCATTATCACCTCCAACTGAACAGCATCACCCAGGCTCACAGAAATAAGTCTTTAAAGCACTGACCACTAGCTGCCAAATCCCTTGAAGCTGTCCTACTAGGAAAAGTTCACCCCAAGTTCTGAATCAAAGACTACAGTGCATTTCAAGAAACTGACCATTCTCTCTGGATGTGACTGTGTTAAGCACTACATAGGTAATCAACAGGAACAATTCACCAGCTACCCTGGAAGTTATGCCAGACTTAGACAAATTACTTTATCTATTTCCTAGTTGCAAAGTCCTAGATAGAGTCCTATTTATACAGTGAATAGCATTTTCATCTACTTCCCTCAAAAACCTGTGCTAATAAACATGAAAGGTAACTAAGTCCTCCCTGTGACTATTCTTCAGCGAAAGACATTCTGGAGTAGATAACATTACCAAAGGATAAACTTGGAAGGCCAAAATGGATTTTTGCAAGGAAGTCATCAACCCCAAATGGCCCAGGCTCCCCTGCACACTTCAGGACTGCTTAGGGGTAGCTGTAACAACCCCCGGTGAAAGTGCAAATAGAATCATTCTCTCCCTTTCCCAAATCCTTAGCCTCTAAAAATATAGTTAAACATTCTCTTTAATTACCTTTGGGAAGAGATAAAGTATTTTGCCTTCCAATGTTTCTGGAAAGTTTCAACTACTTTGCCATCTCTTGGTAAAGTTACAATGTCTTCTTGAGGTGATCTCTCTTCATTTAGTACTCTCGCATCCTCCACGTTCACAACAAAATTTTCTCTTCCAATCCACATCTGGCTCACTTCACTGTCTATAATCTCTGGTTTCCCTCTGTTTTTAAGAATAAAAGCCCTGCTGGGCCTAACCCCAGGATTCCCCCACCTGCCCACCAGTCATACATGGCTCCCTCCAGATTCAGTCATGCTAGTCCCCCTACAACATCTCAACAGCTTTATTCCTCCTCACAGCTCAGGACTTTATTTTTATTTCTTTTAAAGATTTTATTTTCAAAGAGAGTGGAAGGAAGGGAGAAAGGCTAGGAGAGAAACAACGACATGTGAGCAAAACCTGGGGACCTGGCCTGCAACCCAGGCATGTGCCCTGACTGGGAATCGAACTGGCGACCCTTAAGCGCAGGCCAGTGCTTAATCCACGGAGCCATACCAGCCAGGGCCTCAGGACTTTAACACACGCTGTTCCCTCGGCCTGGACTGACTTCACTTACATCTTCACTTGCTTTTCAGATGTCAGTTCGAAACTCATAGCCTCCAAAAAGCCTTTTTTGAACCTTCTATAAAGGTCATGTCCTTTATAAATTCTTTCACATCACTCTGTTATTCCTTCAAAGCAAATATCAGACTTATACAATTATTTATTAAAAATCCATCTCCTCCGCTTGCCTGTAAGTTCTATGAGAGATCCTGTGTGTTTTCTAAACCCTAGCATCAGCACAGTACCTGGTACACGGCTCAACACGTATTAGTTGAATAAGTAAATAAATCGTTCAAAAGTCTTCATTACCTGCCCCCAACTTTATTTCCCACTTCTCCGTAATTCAAATCCACCACAAAACTAGACTTCTGACTCCCCTAGAAATACTTTTCCCCTCATCTTCAGGTCTTCAAATCCTGCGGCTTTTCCTGCCTAGAAGTTCTCCCCATTTCTCTCCACCTGTTCAAATCCCACGGGCTTGGTAAAACCTAACCCATTACCTTTCCTCCGGGATATTTCGTGATAGGGCCAGTCCATACATCTGCGCCTGCTCCACAATTCCAAAGCACTTAACATTCTTTTCGATAATTACATGTAACCTCATAGTACTTCAATGTGTCATGTGTGTGACTTATCTCCCCAACACTGGTGCAAACCCTCAGCCTGAACTGTTTACATCTGCTCCTCCACTCCCAGAGCATTGCTGAGTACTGAGCGCCCACTGAAATGTTTTTCCGACATACCACATTTTATGTCTAAAAAGAGTATTAGTTTCCCCTAACTCCTGTTTGTCAGTGATTCAATTTGCCGCATGTGACTCTCCCCTCAAGTTTCTTTTCAGGGGTTTCTTGCCTGCCCTTCCCCCATTTTAACGAATGGTTTGAATTCTCTGGATTCTTGTTTTCCCCCTGCCTACAAGGACTCTGCGTCCTCTGCGAGGGACCCCTACACGGAAGGGCTCCCAGTCCCTTTAAACTGCCATCCTCCTACACCTTGTAAAAAGCACCTGCGCTCCCTGTGATCTCACACATCAGCCCAGGTCCTCATTTGGGCCACTCTGCCACCTTCATCCCCATCAATCAAAGGGGCGTGGATACTCTGTGGCCACCCCCAACCTCATCCAAGGAAAAATGTCCCAGATTCGCAGTGTTTCTCCTTTCTGCCTCTGCCACTGAGTAGCCCCTTTCGCTTTCCCCCTCCTTCCTCTTCCTAAGAGACATAACTTGGGTCCAAGGTTACGAAGAACCTGTACCGAGAAACCAGTCACAGCCACCCAGCAAGTTCCAACGCCACAGCCTCGGGCCCCGCACCGCCCCCATCCTTCCCGGCCAGCGACCGCAGCGCAAGCTTCGGCCTGGCCAGGGCGCCCACTGGGGTAGCCATCGCTCACTAACCCAGGAAGGTGTCAGACGAGGAACTGGCAGCAGATAACAGGTACGGAGGCGGGCCGCCTGGCAGACGTTAACGGCTCAGCGCTCCATCCCTCCCAGACCAAGCTCCGGCCTCAAGGCTTCCTCGTCCTCAGCGCCAAAGGAGCAAGTCACGTGCCAGCAGGAGCAGTCAGCTGACCGCGGCGCGCGCGGCTCCGCCTACGCGCGCGCTACTGCGCAGCCTCAACCTCTCCCGCGACCTCCGAAGAGGGGCGGGGCTGGAAGGATTCGGGGATGCTGGGAGACCCGGGAGTCGGGGCTGGCGCCGAGTTCCGTAGTGGGTGGAGTTTCCCAGGGTCCGGCCGGAGTCTGTTTCGCCCCCTGTAAACATCATCGCTACCATCCCTAACCTTGTCTCACTTCTGTAGATTTCTGTGGGTTAGTACTTCTCTACATAGGATCGTTCCCTCGGGGTTTTCTTCAGACAGCCCCGTTTTCTGAGTAATGTCCTTACTGGTTCACTTCAGCTGATTCACATTTTCCTTCCAGCCCACTTGGAGTTGATTCCGTAAATGTTCACGGAGCATTGATTGTGCCCTAGGCATTGAGCTAATTTTTTTTTAGGGTTAGGTATCGGAGCAAATCACTCTTTGAGCAAGTTATCTCGTTACGTTATTTAGTTCAGGAGTAGTGTAGTGTGTGATAAACAAATAGTTGAAACCACATCAGAAAGAAACCAAGGAGGGTTTCAGGTCAAAGGCATGGACAAGAGGAAGCACATCCTCTGCGCGGCAGCGGAGAGAGTGGTGGGCAGGGGAGGTAGCAAGCCGCTCTTCTACATCTTGTATATATCATTGGCATAGGAAGATAGATGGTATTATTCGAATTTAGAATATAGTTTCAGAAGTGGTGGAGAACTTGTGATATTCTAATTTAGTTCTTTAAGTTCAGAGATGAGAAAAGTGAAGAACTATAGGTCTTAGCTGTTGTCACACCAGGGAATGACTAAACATCTGATTTTAAATCCCGGCTCCAGTACTGACTAGTTGTGTGATCTTAGGCCTCTAAACTTCAAATTCTTCAGCTGTGAAATGGTGGTAATAATACATATCTTATACCTAGAGGTATTGTGAGGATCAAATGAAGTCTGTATTTAGCACAGTGCCTGGTACATAGGAAACACCCAGTAAATGGTTCCCATTATTACCATATAATATAGAACCCAGGTTTTCTGACCTATCCTATGCCTTTTCTTCTGTTGTGTTCCTGCAGAAATTCACCACAGAATTTCTTGAAGCCTCAGTGTCAGGTTGGACAGAAAGTAACAACCAACCCAACTATTCCCAACCTGATACCATTTCTGGATGAAGTTCAGGCAATTCCAACAACCAGTTCTGTAACACAGCTTTGGAAACCTGTCAGAGGGTATTCTAAAGAGTTTATCTAGCATCACATAATGGGCCTAAAGACAATATTTGGTTAGATCTGTACTGTCCGTTAAAACTTTCTTCGATAATGGAAATGTTACTCTGTGCTGTCCATGTGGTACCCACCAGCCTTATGTGGCTATTGAGCACTTGAAACGTGGCTAGTGTAACTCAACTATTGGATTCTAAAGTTTATTTCACTTTAATTAGTGGCAAATGGTTTGGACAATGTGATTTTAGGGTCTACATTTGGAACCTTTTGCTTTCTTTATGCTTGTGTATGGGCCTGAAGCAGAATTCTCATCTCAGCTTCTTAATTTTTCAAGTCAAGTGCATCCACTATCCACTTCTGACGTGACATTTCCAATGTTTTAAACACCATGTTATACCTGAGAAGCAGTATAATGCAGTTCTCAATAAATATCAGCTCTAGCTATAACTAGGTCTCCCGTATCTCGTGTAAAAACCTAGCAAATATGTTGAATATAAGCAGGGTATGATTGCTTCCTAGTGACTTTTAATAATAAGGCAATGTTTTATAAAGAGAAAGGAAGCTTGCTTCACTATACGAGTATGTGAGAGCAAGCTATGTATCTAAGTATGTACAAAAGGCATGCCGCGCCTTTTTCTCCATTTCCAACTATCTGAATACTTTCCATCTGGGAGCACCTTTTAAGCCTAAAACACTGAAAAAATGCATAGGTAAGGTTTATTTTTTCAAAGAAAAAAGATAAATGTTTTTATTAAACACAGGAAAGTATTTAAAATAGCACAATAGGAACCAAAATCATTTTTCACCTCCCCACAATATCAAAAAAATCTTGAAACTTGGTAGTGGTATTCCCCTTAGGAAAGGAAATGTCCTTGTATAGGGAAATACCTAGATGAACTAATAGAGTGGAAGATACACTGGGAGCTTGGGTAAATGGAGACAAAGAAACCAAAGCCATAACTAAACTTTTTTCCTACAGAAATCAGAAAGGAGCAGGAGTGGTGGGGGAGTGGAGTGAAGGCAGGAATGGAAGCATAGGCCAGTGAAGGAAAAGAGAAGGGAAAAAGAAAGCAATGCGACACAAGGCTTTGTAGAAATAGGAGTGTTTAGAACTCCACCAGATATTTGCTTCAATTGCTACGATGTCAATACTTAGCCATCCACCTCAAACTTTAATAAAGTCTAAGATCATATGCTTTATATGAGCTTCTTTGGTAGAAATATATGCTATCCAGGTTATGCAATATAAAGAGCTCGGACAAAGTGAATAGAACAATCAATAAGATCTCAACACACAAATGAGCAAAAAGTATGAACAGTTGAGAAAGAAGAAGTATCACTGCCTAAACCTTATGGGAAAACATTCACTCTTACTAGTGCTCAAAAATATAAGACAATGGCAATATAATCATTTATTAAAAATAAATATAAATAAGATCTTCTATGAACAAATATAGAAATATTGACATAATAGAAAGTGCAGGGGAAGGTGTGCTAAGATAGAGACTTACATTGTTGAGAAATCGCACAATACACTGACACAACCTTTACAGTCAGCAATTTGAGCGTATGAATGAGAAGCCTTAAAAAGGCTCATTCTATTTGATCTACATTAGAGTAAAAATAAAGGAAAATATAGGAAAATATGTGTGCAAAATATGTTCATTACACCCTAATATATGTTTTTATCATCAACAACATTCATTAGACTTAGTTGAAGAACTAAGCCCCTGATGGAAATGAAGTGTTGAAATGGATTGAGGTTTATATCTTGAATTTTTAGAGTTTAATGATCAGGGTTCATAAATGGAAAACCTTGGTTCTCAACCAGAGGACAATTAGTGATGTCTGGAGATATTTCTGCTTGCCACAGCCTGTGAAAAAGGGGTGCTATTGGTATCTAGTGAGGAGAAGCCAGGGATGCTGCTGAGTACCCTACAATGCACAGGACAGCCCCACAACAAAGAATAACCCAATTCAAAATGTCAATGGTGCTGCAGCTCAGAACCCCAGTATTAGACAGACAATATTCTCAGATTCCCAAATTCTTGATCAACAGCAAGAGTATATATTTCTCTCAGTTTTGTGTCTGTAAAACTGAAACTATATCTACCAGTATTGTTGTAAGAGTTCAGTGGAATCGTGTGATAAATTGTGGTCACATTGCCACCTTGAAGTGTTAGCTAGGCTCACTCACTAGCTCAGAGATGTGTGGCTCTATGCCAGTCTTATGGTGAATTCCTGACTTGTCACAATCACAGATTTCTGCATATCATGCCCCTTGCTTGAGATGGTTGTGACAGGTGTTTTCAGGCAACTTATTTCTAGCCAGTGAAGCATGACAGAACTGCTTCTGTTGGGAGGCCTCTGTGAAGTTTCTTCACTCCTAGGGGAGGAGAGCTGCAGGAAGAGGTGGTCTCTCCTTTCTTCCCAATAGTTGTAGTTCAGTTGTGATACCTGGAACTGCGGCAGCCATCTTGCCACTTCCCTGAGGAGTAAGCTTCCAGTGGGGGAGAACAGAGAGGAGGAATGAAAACAACTTGGGCCCTCCATGACTAATCAACCAACTGCAACGTCTACCCTACCTCAGGACTTCCAATGTATGGTTAACACCAGTGTGAGTCAGTTTCTGAACTTGCAGCCAAAGTATCCTAACTGATGATTCAGGGTAGTTCAAGATGATGTTGACAAGAACTTGACATATTGAATGATAGACTTGCTGTATTCAAAGATGGTGCCACTGACCATGACTAAGATTTATTTGTGAGGCTGTGAATAAAAATGTCAATGCAGGACCTACAATCTTTACTCCAAAGAGCCTTCCTCTTTCTCCCTAAGCCCCTATAACCTTGGCCTGTGTGCCATTCAGAAGCATGAAGGTCATGAGAAGGTGAGTGGCCCCCACAAACATCTAGTGGCCACCACTGTTGTCTTCCTTTTCGACCATCCACTCCCACCCCCTGGCTTCCATCTGTCTCCTCTCTTGGCTCATCTGACACCTGCTTACATTGTCGCTTCTCTTTGAAGCGTCCAACCTGTCCTTACTCTCCTTCAGTGATTCCCTTTCTCATTTACATATGAAAGATGCATTTTCCCAAAGAATGGCTTCTCCATTCTCTGTTCCTTCTACTAGAAGTTAAACCGTCACTCATCCCACATTTGAACTGCTTAGTGGACAGTTTCACCCAGATGTTCCACTCTAATCAAAATCAGTGTGTTCAGCCCTGGCTGGCATGGCTCGGTGGGTTGAGCACGGGCTGCGAACCAAGGCATCACAGGTTCAATTCCCAGTCGGGGCACATGCCTGGGTTGCAGGCTACGGCCCCCAGCAACCACACATTGGTGTTCCTTTCTCTCCCTCTTTCTTCCTCCCTTCCCTCTCTAAAAATAAATAAATAAAATCTTTTAAAAAAATCAGTGTGTTCAAAGTCAGACCTACCAATTTATATCTGAAAGCCATCTTCTTTTTTAGGAACTGATAATATAAGTTTTTCAAGATTAAGACCTCAAACTGCTCTTTGATTTTTCCCTATTCCTCTTAATTTTCACCTGTCTCCAGCTCCTAACAAGTACTTTTCCATAATTTCTCTCACACACACACCCCTTCCTTTCTATTCTTGCAGGCACTATCCTGGTTCAGACTCTGACTTTATCTCTTTAAACCTGGAATACTGCGATGTCACTAAAATGAATTCCTTTCCATGTCCCTCCCTTCACCACCAAATCCAGAACAATCAGAAACCTCCAGTGAGCTCCTACTCCC